GCAGCATGGCAGTTTGTAGACCCGTATATCAGTAAGACGGTATGAAGCAGATACGCTGAACGTCGGCTCCCACTGATATGCTAGTGAGACAGGTATTTGATATGGTAAAGCTACAGTTTTGCAAGTGAAACTAACTTACCTTTTTACAGGCATTTGCAGTAAACTCCATATAGGGATCATCACTTCCCCTGCACTGCACTTGTTCACCGTGAATTACCTCTTTTTTCATCAGCATCATTGTAGGAATGAGGGTTTCTAGCCAACTACTTGGAAAAGTGTTTCAAGCCTGAACTCTTTGTCTTTCAACAGCTCCACGCGAACAGTACCTGTTGTCCCACTGAAGAGTTTCAGGAGGTGGCAGTAGTCCCAGCATAGGAGCTTTTTAAACATAACAGAAATGAGTTGTTAGGAGGGATTGAAAAGAGAGTAAGAATGCGGTCCTGCACAGCTGCACACAGCCCACCTTCCTGGCACAAAGGGAAGTATGGGGAATGGCATCCCTCGGATCATACATTTATGTCATGCGGGTGATGATGCAGTAGGTTTGATGATGGGATATTAGGGAACGCTTGGTACAAAAGAGCCTTCAAGGCTGCATACCTAGTTTGCTGTAAATGAAGAACAGATAACTGTAACATCACAAAGGAGTCTGATAGCCAAACAACTCTGTTGCAATATGGTGTTCCAGGCATTTATATCAAACAACTCTGTTGCAATATGGTGTTAGATGGAGCAGTAAAAATGCAGAGATGCCCAAAGCAACGGGCTGAGCCACACGATTATCCTAACGCTGCGGTAGGAGGAGGGACGGGTGTTCTGGCTGTTTTCAAGCAATGTGGAAACAGAACAATCTGAACGACAGCACCAGACTGTGTCATGGTTAGTCAAAAACAACAAAAAATACTTAGGAATATGAATGTATATTTGTGGGCTACCACAGCACAGACTGTGTAATTAAGCTATTTGCTTCTCTTTTGCATGCCAGATCATTCTGTGGTTTTGCTTGACTTCCTGTAAGAGTTGTTAGTATATGGGCCACTAAGGCTGCAGCTCTGTGGCCACCCTTCAGACCCTTCCTTGATAATTCCTACTACAGAGTCCGAGGTAGAGATCCCACCTGCAAAGGCACCTTGTACATTCGAGAAGAATGCAGAGGGTTTCACTGCTATTTTGTGGTTTAGGGTAAAACTCAAGCTGAGTCATGAGTTGGCCCTAGTTCCTCTTTTCCTTCCAGGTCTGACGGAGGATTTGTTTCAAGATCTAGATAAAAGAAATCCAGTAATATCAGGGAACTCTGGAGGTCCCAGAAATAACAGTGAATAAGGCAGCTGCGGCAGTAAAACCTGCTCCTCCCAGGCCACACAAACCCACCAGATGATAAAGGACCATCCACACTAGCTAACCAAAACACAGCTGTGTGACTTGACACATCAGCATTTTTTCCTATTTCCAAAATCTTCCAGCACTTGAATTTATCAGAAGTTGTAATGATGGCTTGAAAACACAACCACAGTTTTGAAAATTTAAACAATCTCCTAGTCTGTTAGGCTGCTGGGTCTGGAAAATTGTTCTATGTAACTGGTCAGTTTGAACTTTCATTTTTTCAAACAAGTTGGACCACTTGCCTCTTCATAGAAGTGCTTCAATTTTATTTAACTTTTGATATGTAACCAGATCACAGTATAAGCTAACTTGACCATTGAGAGTTTAGAATATGTGTTATTTTTGGATGATCATTTGTCTTCAAATCCACAGTCATACTGTTCTCTCAGTCTAAATAATAGAGTCATATTAATTGTACTGTTACCTTCACTATGTTATTTCTAAATCCAATTTAAACTTGCCCTCCTCTTTACATGAACTCTGACAAAGTTCACTGGGAGTTTTCTTTGTCCCCTAAATAACACGGTTATTCAGAGTCAGTGGTTCCATTATCATCTTACCAGGAATTTTGTTTTCTCAGCTATTATTCCCACTTTTAAATAATCTCAATTATATCTAGCTTGTAATTATTTTAAAATATTTTATGCAATGTAATATCATACTATCTGTAAAACATTACAGTGCTTAAATAACTGATGCATTTCAAAATAAAATTTATGGAAGTGAGGTGATCTGAGACTAATTTTTGCACAAGTAATGCCTTTCAGCCAAGGCTGTACTTAGGTTCTGAAGAACTTTTGAAAGCAAAAAAGCTTGAAAACAGCAGCTGAATGGCAGAAATTCAGAAAAAAAACCCACTAATTTCAAACAGCTCTTCACTGAAAAAGCCACGTTGTTAGCCATAGTTTTTGCCTTTTCTGGCTGCCCTCAAACGCATCTTCTGAAGGGTCTTCTCAAGCTGAGTAGTCACTTGTGTGGAATCTGAATGGTTGCCAAATTCCCAAGCATTTTTGCTGCGAGAGAGGCAAATTTCAGTAGAGTATGAGGTGAGAATAGAGCTTACAGAGAATTTACTATCAAAGCAACTTTGGTTTAAAAGAAATATGAACTAAAAGTTAATCTTTGATTTCATTTGCTATATGATGACCATTAAAGCCTTAATCAAATATTGTACAAAGAAAATGTACTTAAAGCAAGGCTGCCAATCTAGGGTACTGATAGCTCTGCACGATTTGCTATTTAGTGCTTGAAAAAACACATTCATCAACTGCAACAAATAGAGAATTCATCTCCTCTTGTGCATTTTGGAGCTCCTTTAGATCCTTATCCTTTCTATGCTTCTTACCACATAGCACATTAAGTGATCCTGAGAACTAGTTACCTTGGAAGTCCCAGATTTCCAAACCTTCAACAAAACAGGTCACTGCTAGAGAAAAATGACAATCACGAGCGCATGGGAAGACTCGGAGAAGCAGAAGTTTCCCGTAGTTTAGTGCTCGGCAGAGCTGTACAGCTGCTGGGACTGACACACCAACATCACTGTGCCCTCACATCTCAGCCCTAAAGGCCACTTGAATGAAAACCAACAACATCCTTCAGCATTAATCCCGTCACTGACAGACACTCGTCGTTTTGCCATATTGAGAACACAAAAAATACTGTTTTCAGTATTGCAGCCTGTCAGAAACAGAAAAAAAAGGGAACTATAAAAAAAAGGAGAGAGAATTCCTCAAGGAACAAAGAAGTTCCTTAAGTTTCTTCAGTTTGGGATTCTGCCTAACTAAGGAAGTGGCAAGAGGGGAAAGAAAAAGCTTTTATTTCAGTTGAGAAGCCTGAATTGCATCCAAGAAAATCGCAGTTCCCCTCTGTTGCGGCCTTTCGGGCAATATGTACTTACCCTCAAGTTCACCCACAGGAGGAAATTCAGTGCTGCGTTCGCGCCTGCACAAATCCGTTCCGTGTCCTCGAGGGCCTCTCGGCCCCGCTGCAGCCCGCGCGCCTCCGAGCTGCCCTTGCAGCGACACCAACGCGCCACGACCCGCGGCCGGGGCCTCCCAGCACCTCACAGCCCTGTCCGAAGGGAGAATTCCCTGCCCGTGAGCACAGGGCAGCAGCTGCTTCGCAGCGAGTCACAGCAAACCCGTCTGCCACTCGGCTGTAGCCACCCGTGCAGAGTCCTGCAATTCCTGCAGGAATCATCACAATATCTAAAACTAACCTTGCGATAGTGACACGCAGCCCTGCGACAAGCAGGGAAGGATGCTCAGCTCTTGCAATTGCTGCACTTTACTTGGTGTTGGAAGCACCACGGCCCATGCAGATCCATTACTTGGGTGAGAAAAATCTTGAGACATCCTGGCCAAGACTCAGAGCGCAGGAAGAGCAAGGGCAGGTGCCACCTCCAGCTGCTGAAAATGACCCGATTATAAAAACGAGCACTGCTACTGAAGCCATCTCCACGTCTAGCAGTTGGGTTTTTTTTTCTCTCTTCAAATTTATTAAGAGTGGAGAGTACTTTCAAGGCAGTTTTAAAATTCTCTATGTCTGGTGGAAATAAGTATTCACTTATCATACTTGCTGACTTGTTTAGGAAAGACAAAAAGGAGAAAAAAAAAAAGTAGCAGTTTACCTGTTCCAGTATTAAGTCGCTGGTTTTCAAAAAGGCTGCTCCTGCTGCAAACCAGCCTTTCAGCATTTTCTAGACTGCATGAAGACCAAATGCAGTCTTACAAATTTAAGCACAGTTAACCTCCCCCCAGCCACACACGGGTTTTTATGTCAGCATTGTCATTTAACCAAAATATAATTAAAAAACCCAAAGCCCAACTCAGGGATTTCCCCTTCACATCACAGCTTCTAAATCACTCTACGGCAAATCAAACACTTTCGGATTCAGCAGTAACTTTTGTAGTGGCATCAGACTGTCACCAGTAGCTACAATGGTTTTACTTCATGATCAATAGACTATAAATGACAAGGGAAAACAGCCTTTATTTCAACAGCTTCTCATCAGTAACAAGAACAAAGAAAATGAAGAAAATGGAGCACAGGAATCTTTATCCAGGAATGCTTTCCTTGAGTTAACGTGGGAAATGAAGTCTGTCTTTCTTGTCTTAAAACTTCAAAACACTTTCAACCAATTTGTTAGACTTTTGGGATAGGTTAAATCATGAGTATAAATCAACTCCCAGTTTAAAATACTATGTAAAGTGCTCCTATCAGGATTTCTTTAGCTCAAGAAATGATTTAAGCATTCCAAGCATCCATATTTAGGCTGAGTATACACAGTCATTTGATAAATATTTCAAACATCAGTACAAACTTCATATGCAAAACCTTTACAGAATTCTTCTGAAAAGTGGTCTTCAGCTGACAAAATAAATTCTATTAATTGCTCTGAAAACCAGATGGGTTGACCAGGATTCAGGACTTGGATAACATCTCTGCTGTGGGGAGATTTAGTTCCTGTTTTTTTTTTTTTTCCCCTTTCAGACATCCACGAGAGCACACACGTTGCTAAGTAGATATGTGGCTACACAGACCCATATAAAAAAGTCTTCCAAAGGACAGGTAAAATCAGCTATGGAAACGGATGCACAGATGCAGTTTTACCACCGTCATTTCCGGAAGCGCTTGAACAGCGGATGGATGTGCTTGTTTGCCGATGCCTTACTCCGGGAAGAGTGGTATTCCATGTAAACCGTGTCGTCTGCTCCTGACATGGAGCTCATGGTGCCCACGCGGCGGGACACCTGCAGCAAGGGAAAAAAATAAAAATTTGAAAAACCCCAGACATACTGAAGTGTGTGGTAACACTTTAACCTACCGACCCCGCTACTGGAGGGCAGCACTATCCCCTTACTGACCTCAATGCCAGGAGTCTTGCACATTTCTTAATATTTTTCTACAGCAAAACTCCGTGCCTCCCACTCACCATAAGTATATATAATTGTGTAAATTTTAACAGGAAAATTATCTTGGACTAGTGCAATTCCTACTGCATTTCACCATAATGCACTGTAAAAATCAACTCTATCAACTATAAAAAATACTTATGTGTTATTAAATACTTAAGGCAGCTTTTCTGTTAGAAAAAATCTGTTGCTGAAAATATTAAACTACTACCTGCAGAAATGCTGCTTTTCTTGAGTGTGAACAAAAGTGACCTGCAATCTTCTACCCTTGGGGCATTAGGTGATTTAAGGAGCATGACACCACCAAAGAGCATGTGCTCTGACATAGCTGCATCTTTAAAATATTTTAAAATGTTTTCTTTGCTTGTGAAAGTGTCTCTCGCAGTATTTCACACAGTCGTTACGGCACCAATCACTCTTGCACAGAAATGAGAGGGCAATGGTCCAGTTCTGCATCATTTACAGTCATCCTTTCAAAGCATTTGGTATTACCTGAGCTGACTTGGAACCATATTCTCCAGCTACTACTTCCTCCTCAGCATCTAGGTCTGATGCTTGCAGGACTTTCTGGAGAAGCTGCTGCTGTTCTTCTTTGGATGAAAATGAAAGCTCTTCCTCCTCCATGCCAGCCAGCTTTGTTATCACCTAGGGAACACGGCACAGCACAAAACGTTTCTCTCTTTGCTTCCAAGCATCCCGCACAGCTGCCTGCAACCAAGACAGGGACCCCTGGTCCCACATCCTCCTTGTGACTGTCTCGAGCTTTTAATGAGCAGTTCCAACAGCTCGGCGCTACACACCACAATTACACACAACACCTTCCTAAATGTGGAGTAGGGTCTAAATTTGTGTCCAGTTTGAGATCAACTACTTTATATTTCATAAAAAAGATCCATTAGCTTTCCAGAAACTGTCAATCTTGGCATGAACACGGTTGAACACGGGCAAAGCAGCCTACCAAATTCTGAGCCGTGAGCTGCGCGGCCGGTGCAGCAACCTGCAACACGGCGGCGCGGAGGGCACCTAGGAGGCCCCTCAGCTCTTAGTGCCCTTGCAGCCCCCGGCAATGGGGCACGCGCCACCTCCCGGCCACGCAGGGCTCTCTGCTTCGTCAGACGAAGAACGCTCTTCCCTCCGCAGCTGAAAAGCTCCCCTTTCTCTGCTGCAGTGCAACAGGCAAGATGCTCTCTTACCTACACGTTCCACACACTCCCCAAGAACTCTTCCCATGATAAGCAAGTTCCCCTAAAACCCTTAATTAAAAGGTACTACCAGTGTTTGGCTATCCAAAGCGTTAGTGATTTGAGGATCACCCCAGCAAATAATTTTTAAATTCTTTTCCTTTTATCAAAATATTACTCCTTTCATCAAAACATCAGCCTTCTCTCTCCCTTCCCATTCTTATAGTGGTCAGAAAAACAAAAGCAAATGAGCACGTATGCTTATTCATGAGAATCTTAATGGAAACTTGATGTCTCAATATGTTTCTAATTAGAAAAGATGATTAGATGAACTAATTCAACAATTTCTCTTGATTATTTACAGGTCCTCCTCCCTATTCTCCTCTTTCTGCTTATCTGAAGTCAAAAGAATTAGAAACTAATCATTTCAGTAATCTGGGCTGGGTCTAAATACAAAGACTAAGGAAGAAATTTAAATGCAACTTAAAGCAAAACAACTGCACACTAGACACAAAATTTGAGTTTTAAAAAACAGATTTTTTTAGTGATATAGTTGGTGGTTTTCAGTGGGGATTTTAAAAACAGAAATTGGCATCATTCTGAGAAATATCCAAGCACTAAGAATCTATTCAGAGAAGCAACCTGTCCTATTACATAGGCTGACTGAACTGTACATTAGGTCCCCCCTTTTATTTATTAAGGGCTGCATGTTCTATGATCACCTCAAAACTAAAGAAAAATGGATCAAGGGAAGCAATTTTAAACTGCAACAGCCTGTCAGGGTGGCTGCAGAAAAAACTCAGGGATTCATGGAACTTTCCACACTTTTCACTGCATCATCCATTTTTTAAGTTGTCAATTTGTCAAGCTTAAAATTACCCCTGATTCCTTGATACAGCAAGTATTTCTGCTGTTTAAGATTTAATACATCCCACATACATCCTCCAAATAAATACGCTAAGCAGTAAATAACTAAACTTCAGTTAGCTAAGCAAAAAAATACTTAGACTCCAAGCAGTAAATTCTATTCACAAAGGTCCTATTTAAGAAGCAGAGAAAAAAACCCATGAGGTAGGCAACAAGCTACAAGCCAACATTCTACAGTTATTCTACTCTTTCAGTTTGCTAGAAGGCAGAAAATGGAGTTGTAAAGAGATAAGAAGAAGAAAAAAAAAAAGCCCTAGAGCAGTGCAGAGCATTACCTTTATGGAGAAATGTGGAAATACTAAAGTTTTGGTAAGGTTAGACATTAGAAATAATTATTCTGAAGGACAGGACATAAGCACTGAGATAACTACATAAAGATGAGGTAGTCTCCATATTTGAAGGAGCAGAATGGCCAGCATAAGGAATGGTGCATGTATGGCTGATCCTGCCTTGGAATGGAGTAACACACCAGATGGTCTCCCTGAAACTCCTTCTAGCTCTGTATTTTTGAAGGCAGCTATGTCTAAAGCTTAAAAGATGGGTAAACAAAAGAAAATAAACACTCCCCATTTTGTTCCTAAGCTTTAAGTAAATAATATTCCAGGACTGGTCAGCTAGATGCTACTGCAGACACTCAGCTGTCACTTGTCCTGCTTTTTGGTTTCAATACAATGCTAAAATGCCTAGGACTAAATCTTTGCAAAACCAAGTAGCTCTATTTTAACTTCTTAATTAGTTCTATAATCCAAAGCACTCAAATATAAGTAAAGGGATTTTTCTAATCTTTCTGGCTAAACACTGAAGTGTTTGTTGTAGTTAGCTGCAGATTAGTTCTGATCTAGAGTGTTGTCAAAATACATTTGCTACAAAGAAAAACAAGACTTTTAAGAACTATAAACACTATGACATGACTGTTTCATTGTGAGAACCTCCTCTCTCAAGCTATTTTTAATGTACTGCTGGTTACAGTGCAGGTATTGGTTTCCTAGAGACTTGATCCCTGGGGATGCCACTGCTGCGGGTTTGTCTCATGAGCAAAATCCCTGAAATTGTCGACAAAGCGCGGCGTGACTTGTCCTCACGCCTTCTTAGTCATCTGTTAGATACCATATGATGGTCTTCAGATTTGTTGTAAAAATGAGCTCTGCCTATAGACACACTTAGTCCCATACAAAGAGGTTAATGCATGAGCACCCCATCTTTCATTAACCCTATGTATCAGGTAACCCTAGGTAAGTCTTGGAATCTATGAGGTAGACGAGCACTGATTTAGTGGAAAGAAATTTTATGTTCAGAGGAAGGTGACATATACAGAGACATATACGGCATACAGGTGAACGATACACAACACGGGACAAACTTTCAAGGTTTCCTTCAAAGATAGAGCTAGTGCCTTCTGATTGCAGCAGCTCGTTTTGGAGAAGATGGGCAGTTCTCTAAAGTTTTAGCAATGCCCCAAATGGCATTAAACAGTGAATTTCCTTTCAGAAAGAAAGCTGCAAAGACCAATCACTTTGTTTAAATGAAAGTTTGTTTACAGGTTGGTATGAGATCTCTGCATCACCGTGTCCAAGAGAGGACACTATGGAGTTTGTTGAATCTCCTAGCCAATAAAATTGCAACCAAGGTGACAGTCTTGGCAGTCAAGATGATTTGCAAGGCATTCTTATAGGCCATAGCACATGAAGAAAAAACGCTAAGAAACTTTCTCCACAGTGAAATTTTAAATTGGTTAAAGGTGCAAACTTTTTAAAAAAAGCAAATAAGAAGAAACGACATATGTCTGGGGACAGCAGATGAGATAATGTTAAATCCTTTGCCGAAGGGACTTTAGGAAGAACTTTTAAGTTACAAGCCATAGCTCTTTATGCTGTCATAATAATCTGTATTTTGATGACTACATTTTATTTGTGGGAAATTTCCTACTCTGCAGCAAGAGTCTTTCCCCACAGTAATTCTATCATTTCTTAACCAATCAACAATCTAATGCATTTCATATCATGCAAAGACAAAAAACAGTAAGGTCAAACTGTCAGTGGAGGCTAAATAAGCAGGGTCTGAAGAGCTGCATTCAGTTCAGCTAACAACAGTTAGAACAGTTTCAGCTAACAGAGCCATCAGTATCAACACGGCTGCATCCTGACAATCTTCAGCAACACTGCACGCTTTGGACAGCACTGAAAGCAGTGCACGAGATCAGTGTGTGACTAAGATCCCAGGCAGAGAATTCTTTTGGAATGAGTGGCTAGTTTGGATACATAACTTTCTGATTTCCAGAGCTGGATGCATGAATCTAAGATAGATACTGTCTTTGAAAGTTATTTCTGACTTAGGATGTTTCAGGAGTTTGCTGACTCACCACAGGCTTTTAGAGACATGAAGAGCTGTCAACAATGTTTTATGCACAATCAGTATCAGAACGCACACTAAGAGGCCTGCCTGGATAGCTTAAGAACATGAATCAACCATTCAAGTAAACTTCTGCTTTGCTCCCCAGCAGTTGCTTGGTTTCAAGCTGAAATACCTTCCTAGAAGCTGCACTACTGATTCTCACAGTAATATAGGTGATAAAACAGTCCTGTCAGCACAGTTATTGCCTGCAAGCATAAGCTTCATTAATACCTTCCACATCCAGAATTCTCAAGTATTTGACCTACTGCTAAAATAAGACACAGAATTATAGACATAAACGTAACAAATAGAAAGGACAAGTTACCTTGAAACTATAACCTTGATCTACAAGAAATCGTTGTCGCTTGGTGGAATATGCCATTTCCTGAGTGTCTTGTGATACAAGAGAATAAAAAAAGGCATTGTATTCCTCTGCAACCATGCCTAGGAGACAAAGACACTGGATGATTAGTTTCATTTGGAACCCTGAAACCAAGAACAAAAAAACACTAAGCAATGAAAACTGGTGTTACAATAACTTGTCTCTCTACAGAATCAATTTACATAGTTTATTTTTAAGACGAGGCATGCCCGCATCTTCATAAGCTGACTGACAAAGCTCATGGCACGACTTTCCTGCTCTTGCTCTTAGGAACTTTCACGGGGGTGACAGGAAGAAACAGAAAAGGAAATGCAGGTTAACTGAGTTACACTTAGTAACTTAGAGCTCTGAGCAGAACCTGCTTCTTTATTATGCTAAGCAAGGTAAGAGGGAGAGAAAAAAATATATTTAAAAGCCTCTTATGTAAGGAAATTGCACAAAGTTAGGGCAAAGATTGTAACAGAAGTTTAAAAAGTTCAACAGAACAACACAAAGGAAATTTTATGAATGTAGAACAGAATTTGCAGTGATTTTATACTAAAAGTGTGAAATAAAGATATTTAGCTAAGATTACATCATGCTGTCCATCACTTTCTACTTAGGGTCCCCAGTATCTATTACTCAAAAAACTCTGGATTCTCCTTTAGAAGCCGAGGCCTCTCCAAGAGCGTGTTCACGACCGCAGCTTCCACACACTGCCTTTTGCAAGTAAAGCCTCAGCTGCACAAGGCACAAGGTGCACACACACACAAAAGAGCGTGTACAAATGTTAAACACAGAAAGGATTTTAAGAATCCTTTTTTTCTAAAAAGGATCCTTGCGTATATTTTGAAAAAATGCAAATAATTTGTGAAACTAAGTCCCATTTCTAAAAGAAAATAATCTGTGTATAACAAAAATGTGCTTTCTAGAGACTCATGCTCTCTAGGGAAACACAACATATGCTTTCTGGAGAAATATGCTGCTCAGAGTAATACTGTGTTTTTTAAAAATAAGGATTTGATGCTGAGGAAATTATCAAGGAATGAAAAAGAAAAGACCTAAAGGTTCATTTTCCTTCATGAGAAGGAGGAAACCAGAGATAATAAAATGATTTTTCCTCTTATTTGAAATATTAAAACAAAACTGGAATTCCCAGACTTTTTAAATAAGAAAATAAAGCAGCTTATTAATTGTCTCCAACAGTCAAAGTTGGCCAGAGAATGTGCAAAGGCTTCTCTCTCCCTGCGAGTTCCTTCTCGGAGCAGTACCTGGCGTGGCCTGTCACTGAGACGGGTGGAAAAGCAGCTTATCCAGAGAAGCACAAATGGGCACACATGCGTATTTTGCTTTTTTAAGTGTGGGCTAGTTCCAGTGTACTGCTCTGTGTACCAGTACTGCTCTCTGTACGGATGAGATAAAGGTGCACAGAACAGACAGACTCCCAGAGCAGCCTGATGTGCTACCAGCAGCTCCTCTCAGTCTCCATGCATGCAACGAAATAAACCCCAGTGCAGGGAATTCTTTACTTAAGCAGAAAATTTGGTTAACAGCCCGTTGGCTGTCACCTTCTGATTTAAGATGATGCAGTTTATTCCACAATTTAAATTGAATAATTATTGGAAAGCTGTGCTATGATGCAAGACTCAGAGCCCAACCACCACCTCATTTACCTTTTTTGGCTCTCAGCACTCGTCCCAGCCTTTGAGCCTCCTGTCTTCGAGACCCACCATGGGACGAAATCTGAATGAGGACATTGGCTTCTGGGAGATCAAAGGATGTGTCACCCACCTACAACAGAGGAGCAGCCTCTGAGCAATCTACTTTTTCTGCATATCATAAATAAAGATTTAATGAAATATATGCCTTTGAAAGCTGAAAGGGCAATGTCACATGCACAACTTGCCCACATAATCTGCTCTTTGGGAAAGTTCACTCTGGAGGTGGATACAACAACATACTGAACGCCCTCACTTACCTTGGAAATAAAAATAGTGTTGATTTTTGGATTGTGCTTGAAGTTCTGTAGAATTTGCATTCTCTCTCCTTGTGCAGTAGGACCATATATGTAGGGTCTAAAAGAACAGGACATACTGAGAAATCTTGAACTGATGCAATTTGAGTCATTTCTTGTTAGGTACAAGAAGGGAATGTGCACTTAAACCAATAGGAATATGGAATATAGATTTTGACTGAGCTTACACTTTAGCTTGTTTAGCTCTCTATGGCAGCTACCTAGTTGTTTGCAGAGCAATTTGCAGCAACCCACTCTGCCAGAAATAAATTCTGACAGTTATAAATGTTTTGCAATTAATGTACCCCCAGGCAGCTCTCCATCAACAGACTGAAGACATTTGGTAACAACACGAAAGACTGAAGGGAACTGTTAAAATAAAAGATTTTTTTCTCTCAAATCAACAGATCTAGTGCAGCGACAGCTGCAATCTTTGCTTTCTATTTAAGTACTTAAAAACCCAGGCTTCTCTATTAATTACACTCTGAGTGTCAAAAATTGGCTGATGAAAATTCTTTTGGGAAAATTATTCCTATTTTTGCAATTAACCTCTTGCCCCGCCTAATAACTTCTCAAATCTACTGAAATTAAAATGAGGTCCCCAACTTTCTTGGCTGTGAGCAGCCCAAAATGGCAATTCATCTAAAGTTTGTGATGAGTTTAATCCCCATCAAGACTGAAGTGCAAGAAATCCCACTGAACTAAACATCTACGAGTCTGCTGTTTTTAAACCCTTAAGGAAGAGGTGTTAAACACATGCACATGCCTAATTAAACACAGAATAATCCAAACCTCCTGCCTGTCAATCCCCACCTTTTAACCCCCTTTGCCCTATTGACAATGATTCATTGATGTGTATCCAACTACTTTCCCAGCCCAGAACCTAAAACATCAAAACTCCTTTTCCTCACCATGAAAAGACAGAACAGGGATCTGCAGAGATCTCTCTTCCGGCAATACACAAAATTAATTGCCAAACACACAGCCCAACTTCAAATTCAAACACACAACTTGAATTCTGTGGCCCAGAGGCTAAGATAATTCTGGTCCCAAGTGCGGTCTTCCCCTTCCAGCACCACAGCAAAGGGGAGAGATTAAAGGACGACTGGTGCCAAGGCAGCCAGGCAACAGCCACCTGCCCAGCCCACGCAGGTCCCACCTACGCTGCCCACTTCTCCCACTCGGATGGCACCCCATAACCCACCAGACTGCTCTTTCCTGCTTCAGCTTATCATTCCTGCCCTGCCCAAACTAACTGTTCAATTTGGTCATGCCCAAAGCCAACTTTGAATATGCTCATAGTGAACTATGTAAAGCCAACTTTGAATATGCTCATAGTGAACTGTGATTAGAAAATTCTCCGCTTAAAAGAAATCCCACCTGACATTTAGCTGGCACTGTACCCCTCCTTTCTTTCCAACACTGACAATTGCGTAACCTGCTCCGCAGTTGATGAGCAAAGGAGAATTCTCTCAGGAACACAAAAAGCAAACTGTAAACACTTCAGTTTCAGTGGGCTTTCCTACACCATGCATGGCTGCAGTAGCTCCCCCCAGGTAGCAGGAGTTCTGCTGCTTAGGAAGCAGGCACCCCCCCCAGCGCTTGTCTTTACTCAAAGGCCTTTTCCTACGCGCACTCAACACAGCTAACTACATTCCAGAAGCATCATTACAGCTAATCTCTGTCCAGACAGACTTAAAAAAAAATGAAGAAAGAGACCACGGGAGCTGGAATTCATCCAACACTATTAATTCTGCTTATTAGATGTCACAGCAAGCCAGCAAAAGATGGCTACTAAACTACATTTAAAACCCAGGGCAAATTTTGCAATGTGTAAGGAGATTTCTTTAGGACTGTGCTCAGAAATACTGATTAAATTCCTGGACAGGAAATCACACACAAACTGCCTCACAGCTTCCCACAGGAGACATTACTCAGGCTTCTTGCAGAAAGGCTAAGGCCCCCTCCTCTGCTCATTTTCCCCAAGAAAAAGATCTTAAAAGATGCAGAGGGTTCTCATTTCAGAAATCTTTCCCTCTCAGACACAAGAGAACCTACAGTTTCTTATAAGAACAGTTGTAGTGACCTTTTTGAAAGGTTTATCATTCATTTTAGCACAAGTCTGACAACAGACTGGACTGAGGAATACTAGCAGCCCTCAACAGAAATCTTGGATTAAAAGCCCTCCGAGGCATCTATTAAACAAAGATTCTTTTGAAGCAGTTACATGCAGAAATAATGCTGCAGCGCCAGTAATACTGATCCCAAAACACCCTCTCGAGGTCCTTGTTATACAGGAAGTATTGGACTTAAGTCAGTATATTGTAAAAAACATCTAAGGGATATTGAAACCTGCGGAATTACAGGGTAAATTTCTAGGAATGAGGAAAAAGATAGGGTAATCTTTGACTTACTTCCCAAGCCTGATTGCATACTCCTTCAGTGCAAACACGTTGTCAGCAAATACGATGATTTTATCATTCCGCCGCTCGTGAAACTTTATCAGAAACTGGCAGGCTCTGAATTTATTTGGGTTCATGGTATACAGCAGAATCCGCTTCTTTGTCTTGATAGCCACGTACTCTCTATAAAATTCAGGCGACATTGGGCACCAAACCTAGAAGTAAAAAACCCACACACATACAAAGTGGCCCACAGTTATTTAATTAATTTTATTCCAGTGAGAAATTAAGACCCTGCATTAAAATTTCTCTAAAGTACAGGCCCCAAATCATAAGACAGTATTTGCTACACTAAGATGAACACTACTCTGATCTAGTCACCAGCAACAAATTAACAGAATACTGCAGCAAAATGCCTATTTCATAGTCATTGTTCAGCTGTGGAAGATAACAAAAGATCTGCTCAGAAAGTTAACAAGTTACAGGAGTTTATTTAACAATCTGATTTGTTCTGTACTGTTAGGAACTACATTTTAGGCATTGTAAGCACTTGCCTACAGTAATGATGGATTCATGCACTGAATAGGCACTACTTCTCATTGACATGCCAAGAAAATCCAAACCAATGAGCAGTGCAGTTGTGCATATATTAGACTCATCATTTCCCAATCAACACCGTTTTGTTTTGGTTTTCTTGGGGGGGTGGATCTTTGTTTACAGTAGTAGCTCGAAGTACAATTTCAACAACAAAAAAAATGCCCTAAGTAATATAAATTGACAGAAATCTGCAAATCACTCAAAAGAAAGTACTCTGTGATTAGCTTTTCAGGATCTACAAGGCAATTTAGAGGTTGAGAATTATGCTTCTTAAACAGAAACATCTAAAGAGCCTAAGCACAGTGAAATTCATAATCACAGACTGGTTACTCTCCCTTCAATCTAGTTACTTTCTACATGCTCTCTATTTACATTCTGTTACTTAAAAAAGTAACTCTTACAACCCCTGGTTTGCACAAAAATTTGTATCATTTCAAACAAATATGTATGTAATAAAATTGTTTTTGTAAGTTGTCTCTACCATGTACTGCAGCTTCAATACTTACTTTGGACAATTTTCATAATAATCGCTCTGTGTTAATAGGTAGGAGACTCAAAATTCAATCCATTTGTGGATTTTAAAGAAAAGCTATTTATTTCATAAGGAAGACTCCCCTGATTGTAGAGTATGGGTATGAAAAGAAACAACTCTGACTCTTTCTTACTAAATCATGTTTTGTTATTCAATATGAAATCGAAGTAGAAATAAGGTTTTTTAAAAAAATTTGGGATTCGGAGAACCCATTCAGCAATACCAACTGGCATTCAGCAATACCAACTGGCATTCAGCAATACTTACAGAACAATAACAGCCATACAGCCCTTTACAATAAATATTACTCCTCCAATTAAAGAGGCAGCTTTTCCAGTTGCATAACCTTCCTCTAAATAAAAAAAAAATGTAAGCATACTAAATATACCGTAATAGAAATAAAAAAACAAAGCTTCACCTCAGCACACTGCACTTTAGCAATGTAGCCACTGTTCTGCAGCTCCATCCAGTTGGCTTCATAGAGCTTTGGCCCAATCAGGAAGTTCAGGTCAACAATTTTATCATCTTCTCTGACCAGGGTAGCAGTCAGTCCCAGTTTGCAGTGAGCTTGTACTATAGTGAGCACACGTCTGAACATTTTTGCTAAGAAAGACAAATTTTCTGTTTAGTGTCATGAATGGATGTAAAAGGTAAACATTGGGGGGAAAAAAAGTTCCATGGACTCCTAAACACAAAGCAAGCAGAGTTTTAGGAAGTATTTCCCATTTCACACACTATTCCAACTGATCTGTGCTACTGCAGAACTTGAGGCTGATTGCAGGCTCAGTTTACACCTTCAGTGCACTCTGCAAATCCCTGTAAAAAATCTGTAAACCTTCAGCCATCTGTGTTATTTCTCCATTTCTCTCAAATGGACTAATGCACTCAGCGGTTATGTGACTTATGTCACGTATTATTTCGCAGGAAGAACTACTTTGTTAAAATGATGGTCAACCAGTAAGGTCTACTTCTGAAGACTACCATTTCCACAGAGGCCAAATAATGTTAAAGCCAAACCATATCAATGAGGTACAAAAGCTACCAGAATCCTGGATGGCATTTTTGACCAGGATTACTCCATTGAAACTTTTAACACCCCATTATTCCTTCCCAACAGTATGGATCTAATTTGAAAGGTTTGGGGGAAGTAACGCACAGCTGAATTCTCCAGCAACAGCGAAAATAATTAGGAGATGGCCATTTGCCAAAGTCTCAAAACCTTAATTTTTGGACTTGCCCTCTGTATTAAATGTAAAAAAGGCAACATGAAAAGAAGCTTTTAGAGAGCAGAGTTACATTATCAAGTGAATATAGCATGAGGGAAGTGCTCACTGCTTCCTTACCAGGGATAGTATGTACTTCATCAAGAATCATAAGGCCCCACTCTTGACTTTTAAGCCATTCCATTACTCTCTCTGCTTCCCAGGATCTTTTAGTTGTGTGTCCCAACATGGAGTATGTGCTAATAGCAATAGAACAGCCAATGGGTTTGTCTTTGGCATCTGAAGTGAACCGACAAATCTGGCTGTCATCGATGGTGGACCACATCTTGAACTGGGCTTTCCACTGCTCCACGGACACTGCGGAATTGCCGAGCACCAGACACCGCTTGCGGACAGTGCACGCGGCTGTCACTCCTACCAGGGACTTGCCAGCACCTGCAGAGGGAAGGGAATGAGTTAGTCATTCCAGAGATACCAGAGAGAGGAAAGCAAGAAAGATTGAGAGAAGATAGGAAATCATACCAAAGAAAGGCAAATTCTTCACTGTTTTTTATAACAGTCTTAAAAAAACAAACTACTGAGCTACTGTATAAAACCAGTTTGACTGTTTACTAGGCACATTACTGTGCAAGTTCTCAACAAAACCATTTTAAACACTGCTTTTGAAAGCTAGAAGCAATCATTTTAACCTGGTTTTGAAATGAAGAAAGTGTTAAGTTCTAGGTGGTAATGGAAAGCTCTTATTAGAGGTCACCTATTCCACTGCTCCTGTCAGCTATGCGCATTCCACCACATTATGGTGGAATGGATGCACATATGTGCATTCCTTACATATTTTCCTTCCTCCTCCACACTACTCTCTTGTAACATCCCTGACTCGCCTCTTTCAGGCTCTCCCTGTATCTCCCATCTGCTCTCTCACCCAAACCACAGGCACTACCAAGTCGTCTCCTTTTCTCTCCCTTCCCCACCACCTCCCACAGCTTATCTCAATCCATGTAATCTTCATTTCTTTTCCAAATTTCCCTGCCCAGAACTTGTGTGTGTAAACTCCTTTCTTCGCTTTTCTCAATGCCATATTCGTATTCCCAGTTCCTCCCAGGTCTTCTTGTCCCAAAGAACAAATTACTTAAGTGCCAACAATTTTAAAAGTCACTGGAAGATCAGCAGAGTTGTTTTAGAAAGAACTGTGAAAGTGCTAACAATAACTATTATCACAACCACAAACCAGTTCTCCAGTAACTACAGGAAAATCAACAGGCCTGCTAAGTAGATCCTTAAGAGCTCTACAAATATGGCCCTCCCTTGTCAGAGCGTCCCAGGCCACACATTAAACATAGATAGGGCTCTACATGCTGGCACCTAGAACACTCTCTAGTGCTGTATGAATCTAAGCAGATGTAATATTCAGAGTTTATTTTATTATGGGCAAAGATGCACACCTCTTGCACTGAATGTCTTGAATCATTTAGCCAAAAACAAACCCCCCACCCCTCACCGCCCCAAAGGAAACCCGTGACTTACCGCAGGGCAAGACAATAACACCAGATCTAGCTCGCCCATTTCCAAACATCTTCCTTAGGCTTTTCTCTTGGTAGGGTCTGAGAACAGCTGTGGGTTTCAGATCTATATTAATATCAGGATTCACCGAATCATTTCTGAAATCATATTCTGCCAGCAAGGGGTATTCCAAATGGATACAACGCTTCTGAAGCTCTTCAATCATCTCCTGAAGAGGAGACAAACCTTCAGACAGCAAGTCCTCCATAGCCGAACTATTCCTTTGAAACAGAGACTTATTGCAGACTACCATACAAACCTATAGTGTTTTTTTAGACTCCTTGCATCTGCAGAGTTAAAATCTATTCTAAGAACTTCAGTCACGACAACTCTTACCCCCATATCTGAAAGAAGAGTCCATATTTAAAAGCACTTTTTACACAAGGGAACAACGCACTCAGACAAAACCAGCTCCGGAACCAACCCGAGATTTGCCCTCCACTGAATTCTTACTCATCTTGCAGAGTAACATTCAGTCCCATGTGAGGGGAGACCATCCTTGGCCTTTCTCTAACTTCTGAGCACTGCACCCTCTATGCAGGGAAAGAACCAGTCTACATCCTCTGCACTAAAAATGAAGATCCTAATATAATATTTTGGAAGGCAAAAAAAAGGAAAGACATTTCAACAACCACAGTGAGCTCTTCCACCAAAGAGCCGTGGTACTTTATAGTTTAGTCCCAACACTTACTCGTGAATCATGAGCATCTCCCTCACAGGTACAAATGCCAGGAGACTTAACATAATCATACCTGCTTGACTTCAAAAGACACTGTCTGTGTTTCTTCCTCCTCCTCCTCATCTTTGTCCATTTGTTCATAAAATTCAAATAAATCTGCTGGGACATCTGGCTTATTCTGAGCATCTGTTCCTTGTGATGTTGATGGACCCAGGCCTCCTTCACTGGATTTGGAAATCTGAAATAGATGGACAGGAATCTTTATTGAACTCTTCATTAGAGATCCCCCTCCCCAACTAAAATGGGGCTCATTAACGAGGCACAGAGCACTAACGACAGAACAGAATACAAATGCTGACATGACACACGTACAGTAACTGTTCTGAACTACTTAACAGCTTATGTAATGTTAATGCAACCATTTTAAACCTGGGGAAGCATACCGCTGATTTACTGGTAAATGTCTCTGTAATGAGCTCGGTTTCTTCACCCTCAGCGTTTCTCAGGCGACATTCTTTAATAACATGGTCTTGCAGAAGCTGCTGAATGACATCAGGGTGGGTACTTTCCACAAAATACCTGCATGGAAAGACCAAAGGAAAAGATCTGCTTAAGAACTGATCAACTGAATAATTCACAGGAAGAAGAGCATGGATGCTTTGATTTATAGCTCTCCCCAGTGCACTCTCAAGTATCCCCATCTTAGGGGATACTTAAAAACAACTATGGTAATCAAAATTTTTAAAAGATACTTCATACCAAAAGCAGCATGTATTTTACTGTTAGCAATCCTGCTCAAATTACCTACTGTTAATATAACATAAATAGAAAAACTCCAAAAGAACTGCTTAGACAGAGCTGAAGAGTCCTCTCACATTACAGTCTTATCTGCACCAGGAGAAAACATTTTTCTGAGACAACATTTTTCTGAGACTGAACTGAGGTGAGTCTGTGAAAATTCCAGATGTTGTGTCCTGGTCACAGGAAACAAAATAACCTTGAGCATCCAGAAATTCTTCTTTCCCTTAAGATTCACCAATAATGACACTCATTTAAGAGCACACTTAAATCCCCATGCTAGTTCAGACTTAAGTGTCCCTTGGCTCACTTTTTTTTTTTGTTTCCCCCCTAACTGACATCTAACATGACAATAAAAACCTGACAGGAATCCTAACGTTAGTTTTCAGTTCAGAAAAGAAGGAACACCAGCAAAGCATTAGATTATAGTGCTAGGGCTCAGCTGTAGCTATCAAGACAGAAGAAATCTTTTTGAAGAAAAGAAATGAAAGCAGAGAAAGCATAAGAAAGCACAGACAAGTTTTCATTTTCTGCTCTCTCCTTCCCTTTAAAATCATAGTTTTAAATAAAACTGGTCAGCTCTAAACCTGTAGATATCCCAAGATTTCTTCCAACATTATCTTCTATACATAAAACACAGCAAATTCAATTAATAAGCAGATTTCACACAAATACTGAGTTCTTGTCAGTGGATTGTCTTGTCCTTCCTGAATAATGATTACAAACCAAAACACATTAGACTGAAAGACAGCTATAGCAAATCTTTCTAATCAATGTTTCTACAAATTCAGAAGGAATGAAACAATTATCTGAAAACCTAGTGAGGTACTGCAAGGCCAAGCAATGAAGAAACAAGCTAGAACATCAAAGCAGTATCCTAGTTACAATAGCGATAACTGCCAGTAGTCCCAAACAGTCAAACTAAACCCACCAAGGAATGTATTAAACGCTTACAAACCAGGACCAGGATCCTGCCGGAACGCACGGGGAACCCAACTGGGAGCTGCATAACAGTTCTGAACACAACAGCTCTGAGCCCCAGTGCTTGGACCCGCTGGCTGAGGAAGGAGCTGCTCACCTGTTGTGTTTCAGCACCAGCTTCACCTTCCCGTAGCTGACAGTACACAACTACAACAAACAAGAGCAGGCATTAGGAACAGGCACAGGAACATTTCTAGATTTGAGACTGGTTGCTGCAACGTGTTTCTGCTCTTTGCAGAAAAGAGTGCAGAGTCAAACACGCACTTGCAGGGTTGTTATGGAACAAGTCTACTTTAACAAGTAATTTCAGAAGATGCACATGTCATCTCGCAACAGGAGATCAGCCACAAGACATTCAGTTTTTATATCTGAGTCCAATCTACTGCCAAGACTGCAGAAACACACTTGCAAGATGATGTACATTGTGTTTTATAGGCACTAGCTCTATACTATGCCAGTACTCCAGATAACTCTGCACGTTCACAATCTTCAGAGTAAATACAAGGAAACTTTAGCCCTCAGGCACTTCCTCTGGCACAAAGCATGCACACTAAAGGCTTTGCTTAGGACTTCCATTTCAAGCTATAAACTGCATGTAGTCCACATCATAAAATTATTATTTGTGTAATGCTATACTACAAAGACAAAAAATAAGAGAAAGTCTCCATTCTCTTGAAATGGACCAACAGCATAAAATAAGACTGTGAAAGCAACGAGCGAGTAAAAAGCAATGAAGCAGCAGTAGCAGGAAGATATTCCAATAGCAGCACTAGATTAAATTCCATAATGTACTTACCTTGATGAACTGAACTATTCCATCTGGGACACCAGTTTTGCTCAGTTTTTGTAAATACTCTGTGATGTCGCTTGTTTGCAAGCCAACACTAACTGCGGCATAAAGCGAGTAAGCGGTCAGCTTGTACTCGTGGATGTGTGTTGGCCTGCACACCGGCTCAGCAATAGCAACTAAAAAATCCTGTGCATACTTGTAAACTGGAGAAAAGGCTTCTAGAAAGATATGGCCATCAGGAGCCTGTACGTGGAAGAAGAAAACATGCATTTTCTCACATGCTTACCAGTGTAAAGTGAGAAAAACTAGGGACTTTCCTGCTACAAAGCTGTCATGACATAGAATGACTCTGCTCTTTAGGAGGTAATATATCACTGCTTTCCCTCCCCATTCCAAAAAAGCAATGACGCAAACAATGAAATTACAACAACAGACACACACACGCACAAAAAAAAAGAATCTAAGACACTAAGAAAATGCAAGATACACCCAATAAGTTTCAGTGCAACTGTTTTTCCCCCTTAAGTTGTTGATATATATGGATACATAGATACATACACACACACAAAACTACAAAAACTAACACAAGAACTGAGAGGAGATACATGACTATGAAACTTTAACCTTCAGCAAGGGCCTGGGCATTGCCTTGTCAGGGGCCTTTATATGACACTAATAAAAAAACCCATGCAGAAAGGTTTAGCCTTTCCGGACGGGCACTTCGGGCTTTCCCTCCTTTCTATTTTTTCCTGCAAACAAAAGTGCGGAGCTTCCCTACTCCTGGAGGCTGTTTCTCCCCGCCCCATCCTTCCTGCCTCGCTCCCCCGTCGCGGTGGCGCCGCTACCCCGTCCCGCCGCCCCC